AAGAAGAAAGTTTGCTTGCAAATGTTGCATCATTAAGACATGAATTGAAGAAGACAGAATGGAGTTTGAAGAATTTAGGGCAAGAGTTATCCAGGTAAGTAAGTAAAATTACATATAGAATTCATAGTATGACATATGACTGTAAAATGTTTAGATCTAATTATTATATACTTTATATGCTTCTGGAATAAGATACAATTTTTTTTTTTTTTTTAATATTTTTGTAGTACTGGGGATTAAACTCGGGGCTGTCAGCCTCGATGTGACCAAATGCTTGACATAGGCCTCTTAAAGGAGGAAAATTTATTTTGCCTTGTGGTTTCAAAAGCTTCAGTCTATAGTAGGTCCAAGACAGAACTATGGCAGGAGGGCATGGCAGAGAAAGGTAGCCATGAGCCTGAGATAACAAGAAAACCGAAGCTAGTTTAAGGAGCTAGAGACAAATCTGTTTTGTCTTCAGAGACAATGAAACGAGTAACTTTTTCTAGTTGGGCCCCACCTCCTAGGTCCTACCTCTGAATATTACTGCATTATGATCAAGCCTGTAAAACATAGAAGTTTTGGGGAACTCTTCATATTTAAACCATAAAAGCATAGAGCTACATCCCAGGCCTAATTGCTTGTATTTTGAGACAGGGTCTTGCTAAGTTACACAGGCTGTTGTTGAACTAAGTATCCTCTTGTATTAGCAGTTGGAGTAGCTCGGATTATAGGCATGTGAACACCATGCATGTTAGTTTTGTATACTTTTAAATGTAACTCATTTTTAAAAAAGAAGAATATTGGAGAACCATTTACATATTAAGAAAACACCCTTACTGTATGAGGAACCAGTATAAAATATATATTTGAGACTGTATTAACCATTTTTTGTTACGACTTTTATTGTAACTCTTAGAATACTAAATAATCCTAGAATAAAAGTTCAGGAATTACATAGATTACTAGTTTAAAACTGTGGTTTATTACCAGGCATGGTGGCACATACTTGTAATCCCAGTACTGGAGAAGTTGAGGCAGAAGTTTTGCCATGAGTTCAAGGCCAGCCTGGTCTGCACTGTGAGTTCAAGGAAAGCCTAAACTACAGAGGGAGACCCTGTTTCAAATAAATAAATAAATAAATAAATAAATAAAACTGGTTTATTGATGTTCATAACTAGGGACTAATTGTCAGCATCATTTTTTTCCCTGTTATTTACTATATAGGAATTTGTAGTGAATACTTAAACTAAAAGCTAATTTTTTTTTTTTGTTGTTGTTGTTTGTTTCTAGTGCTAGTCCAAGCGATTATTCGGAATATTCCTCTAATCCCTTGAAGTTTGAAAAACTTATTTTGGAAGATCTTGTTCAACCTTGTCATCTGGAACTTTTGAATTACTCACCTTATAAAAACATTTGTAAAATGTCCAGTAGCAGTTCTGATTTTCAGAAAAAGACTAGAGAAAAGGTAGTTTTTAGACTTACTTAATTAAAAATACTTTTAGTTTTAGACTGATCTATTTAAAATATTTTTGGTTGAGTTTTTCTTTAAATGCCATATTTATGTTTCTAGTCTATTGTTCAGAAATTAAAATACAAGTCATGTCTTGCAAATTTATGTTTGAGTTCATTTTATTTTGCATAACCCAAGGAGTCATAAGTCATGCCAAAACCAGTTATCTCGCCACTACCAAAATAGAATCTGAGTCCAAATACAGAAGTGACACCTGGTGTGCTCTTTTACATTTTTCAAGGTTTCCCCAAATTTCTGCCTTAGGTACTATTGGTTTTCCAGGGTGAAGGACATCAGTGACCATTTATTTCCTTTGAAGTAGTTGGTCATGAACATCCTGGTCCTGATATTCGTGATGGCTTCTGATCCTCAGGCAGTCAATGAGGAAGAATTACTCAGTTTTTGATCTTTGTATTGTCCCTTTACAGTTAAATATCTTTTTCTTAAATAAATTAAAAATTCCTTAATTTTAGAATTATGCTCTAAAAATAATATGTGATCAATTATTAATTAAAGTATATTCATCATTTAGTTTGAATCAACTGCTATATGGTAGAATGAGACTAGTTTCTTTAATTAGCACTAAGGTTGTCAATGATTTTAGAAATCTCTTCCTGCTTGGGAACTGTTTCTTTCTTATTGTGTGAAGTTCTAGGACCTATGATCCATATCTTCTAATTATTGATTATTCTAACTGTACATGCACCCTTTTGAAATCGCTGTTTTACTACAAATAAAAATTTTAAAACATCAATTGAAGGGAAAAGTATTGGTAATGCCTATTTTTTTTTTTTTTTTGCAGTTATACTGTTTGTTTATTTTTAAAGAAAAACAATGGTAATAGAAAAAAATAGCATTAGAATTGATACAAAATTTACTAACAAAGTAAAGGAATTCAACAATGGTTGCTATATTTCATGCTGTTATCTTCAATTTAGTTGTTTAGGTTATCAGATATAAACATACAAGATTAGTTTAAAGAGGAAAACAAAACAAAATAATAAAAAATGTTTTAAGAAATTCAAGAGAAAAAATAAGAATAGAAAGAAAAATATTTTAAGCATTAACTTCTCCTTTGAAAAGACCAACAGAAATTGATGGTACAATTATCCAAGCTATCCTGCATATATACACAAATATATATTTTCCCCTTCTTTCCTTTTTTTTTTTTTTGTGGAACCGGAGATTGAATTTAGGCCCTTGTGCTTGTGAGGGAGGCGCTTATTCTACTGAGCCATTTCCCCGGCCCCCAGTAATGCCTATTGAAGTAAAAAAAATAATCACAATCATATGAAGAGCTAGTGTCTCGGTTACTTTTCTCTCGTTTCTGGGACACCCAGAATTATAAAAGAAAAGGTTTATTTAGCTCACAGTGGCAGCTTCAGTCCATTCTTGGATTGCTCTAAGGCAGAGTGGCACAGAGCAGAGGGCAGCCATTCATGGTGGCAAAAAACAGCAGAACAGAACAAATGGGAGTAGCAGCAGTAA